GGACAAAGAGTTAATTAACTATATATAAAATTTCTTTTTAGAGGATTACACAACCATGTTCATTAGTTAAATCGATCGTTGTTGATGTCTTCAAACATGAAAATCATCAAAAATAAATAAGAGATCAAAACCGTATGTCATGTATTCAATAACAAATCGGTATCCATTGGCAATCCGATAATAATGCTCAATATGTTGATAGCAAAATGGATTCATAAGATACTAACCATTTACTAAAAAAAATCACACCTGCTCAACCACTTGAATATCATAAAAATAAAAAAATCTTCTTATATATCTACATCATAAACTACTACAACAACAACTTTGAATACAAACATATCTCTCTAGAGCTCCGACTTAAAAACACATATCTTGATCAATCACGCTTAGAAAATCCTCTATTAACTGCAAAGAAGTAAAATGGTGAGGAGAGAGCGTGAGAGTCACACGCATTAACGAAGGAGCGTGAGGTAAAAGCAATCAAATTACGCAAAGTCACGCCGCAGTAACGGGACGTTTAAGGCAAAAGCCGTCGCAAAACACAAACCCTTCACTGGCTGTTTTTTTGGGCGGCGCTTTTCAGTCAAACCCTCGTTGACTATCTCTCTCTCTCTCTTTAAAACCAAGAACCCTTTTCTTTATAAAGCAACACAACGTCACTTCTACATATATATAAACAAGAAAGTAGATCTTTATCTAGGTTCTTTTTAACAATGGCACCGAAACTGGTGAATGTGAGTGAGAAGATGAGTAAAGAAGTGCGTTTTAGAGGAGTGAGGAAGAGACCGTGGGGTAGATACGCGGCGGAGATCCGTGATCCGGTTAAGAAAACTCGGGTTTGGCTTGGGACTTTCGACACGGCGGAAGAAGCTGCTAGAGCTTACGACGCCGCAGCGAGAGAGTTTCGTGGCTCGAAAGCGAAGACAAACTTCCCTCTTATCGGCGAGAAGTCGACGGTCTGCGACGGTGGAGGTAACGGTTCTTCTAATGTCGTGGACCTGGAGGCGCGTGAGACGACGCGCCGGCTTGGGATGGTTGGGAGATTGCCGTTAGCATGTCGCCGGCATTTTAACGTGGCCGGTGTTTATTATCCGGCGACGACGGGTTTCTTCGATCCGGCTAGGGCTGCTGCGTTGAGAGCTGAGCTTTCTCGGATCTACCCGGTTCGGTTTGACCCGGTTGATATCGAGCTGAGTATTGGTAATCGAGCTACCGTAAAGGTTGAACCGGCGGCTTCCTCCGTCGTGTCTACCGCCGTGGATTGCAAACCGATGAGGGAACTAAACCTTGATCTTAACCTAGCTCCTCCGGTTGACGTTTAGATTTATTTATATTTATTTCCGGAAAAATAATATTTGTTTCCTGCTAATTTTTTTTTTGGTTGATGGAGAAAGATGACCATGTTTAAAATGCTCTTTGATTAGTTTTTATGGTTCACTTAGTAATGTGGATGTAAATATTAATCAGTTATCTATCTCTTTTTTTTTAATGTTTTTCTCATTTCTTAAGTTCTTATTTTAGAAATTACATGATGGTTGATCAATCAAATGGTAGCTGATATTTACTTACTTAAATGGCAATGGTACAAGAACTTAAGAATTATCGAACATTTACTTTGTTTATGTGAACGTCTTAAGCAGCTGGTTGCTATTTTTCAGTGTGTATAAACTGT